AGCTAACTGAAACTTAGTCAATTATATTGTGATATTTAAATTCTCTATAGAGAATGCACAAATATGCAAAGTTTTTGTAAGGTGCAAATAACACTGTGCTATGCCCTGCTGCTTTCCAGAGCTCTGCACCCAAGGCAGGTTGCTCCCACCACTTGATCCTACATATAGCATTTTTCTGTTCGGAATTTTGAATTAAATCTCTAGTCTTCGCTTTAATTTCTGATCAGAGAGGTACCCTATATCAGGGGTCTCCAATTCCTGGGCCATAGACCAGTACTGGTCCACGGCCTGTTAGAACTGGGTTGCATAGCAGGAGGTGAATGGCGGGCCAGCAAGTGGAGTTTCATCTGTATTTAAAGCTGCTTCCCATCGCATGTATTACTGCATGAGCTCCACTTCCTGTCAGATCAGTGGTGGCATTAGATTCTCAAAGATGCAAGAACCCTATTGTGAACCATGCATGTGAGGGATCTACGTTGTGTGCTCCTTATGAGAATCTAATGCATCTGGGGTGGAGCTGATTAACGTTAGCAGTGAGGTTTGACTGCACAGAGACCATAATAAATCAATAGCTTACAGACTCATCAAAACCCTATCAGTGAGTAGCAGGTGAGTTGATGTACTTCAATTGTACAGTTGCATCTGGCAGCAGCTTTAAGTCAGAATCCAACACTAATTTTAGTCCATGCATGGCCCGCCCATTATTTTATTTACCATTTCCATCCATGCCTCTTTCCCGCACTGTGCACTTGTCTCAGTCACAGTTTTGGTAAGCTCACAAGATAATCCTAGCCAAAATGAATAAAAAAACAAACATCATTGAAGAGCTTCTTTGAAAAAAGGGAAAGACCCAATGATGAGACAGCAGAAGACTCTAAGACTGCCAGCAAAAATAAAGCTGCATTTAAAAGAAAATACCAAGAGTCCTACTTAAATTACAGGTTCATTGCTATAGTTGATTCACATTCTCCAAGCTCATATTGTACAATATGTGGTGACCAGCTATCCACCAAAGCCATGAAATCTTCAAAATTGCTTTGCCATATGCCAAGCACCCTGCATTAAAAGACAACCCTCTGTAGTTCAAAAGGAAAAAAAAGTGACTATGAAGATCAGAAGCAATTACTGAAGGCCATCACTTCATCATATGTGTCTGCACTGAGAACATTATTCTTAGTAGCTAACAGCATTGCTAAAGCTAAGAAGCCCTTTATTATTGATGAAGAGTTGATCCTGTCTGCTGCTAAGGACATTTGTTGTGAACTTTTAGGAGAGGCTCTAGTTCAAAAGATGGCACATGTTCCTCTTTCAGCTAGCACCATAACTAGATGAATTAATGAAATAGCAGAGGATATTGAGGCACAATTGTTAGATAAGATTGATGAGTCACCGTGTTGACAATAAGGCAACAATGCTTGTTTTTGTGCGACACATTTTTCAGGAGGAAATGTATGAGGATATGTTATGTACATATTTTTGCCAACCAATACCATAATTGTAGAACTATTTGAGTCTTTGAATGATTATACACAACAACTGAGTTGGTTGTTTTGTGTTGGTATATGCACGAATGGAGTGGCTGCCATGACTGGACAGCTTTCTGGTTTCACTACTCAGGTCGCTTTTGAATGTGAGTCTACATACTGTATCATCCATAGAGAAATGTTGGCTAGCTGAAAAATGTCACCTGAACTTAACATTTTGTAGGCTGCGATTAAAATCATCAACCACATTAAAGCACATATCCTTAACTCACATCCGTCTGCGCAGCTCTGTGAGGAGATGGACACAGAGCACGCATGTCTACTCTTATACACAGAAGTGAGATGGTTCTCTAAAGATAGATCACTGGCCAGAGTTTTTGAGTTGAGAGCCACTCCAGAGATTTCTTTGAAAAAAAAGTCACCACTGGCAGCACATTTCAGTAACACAAAATGGGTCACAAAACTTGCTTACTTGTGTGACATACTCAACCTGCTCTGTGAACTCAATCTGTCACTTCAGAGAAGAACAAAAAGTTCCAGTCAGCAGATAAAGTGGCTACATTCAAAGCCAAACCGGAATTATGAGGGCAACAGGCAAACATTGCGATTTTTGACACGTTTCAAACATTAGCAGAGATTTTGAAAGAGACTAAGCCAGGGTCTTCTTTCTTCCAGCTAGTGCATGATCATCTATCTCAGCTTTCAAAAAAGTATGAGCATACTTCCCAACCACAAAAAAACCCCAAATTGGGAAGAAATGGACCTGTGACTCATTTGTGAAAAAGCCAGGTGAACTGACTTTGTGCTAGAAGAAGATCAACTGCTTGAGATCTCAAATGACAGTGACCTTAAAAGTACGTTTAAGAGAACTTCAAATCTCCATATGTTCGGGATTAGAGTCAAGGTGGAATATCCTGAGATTGCCACAAAAGCACTGTAAAGCCTTGCTTCTATTTCCAACATCCCATCTTTGTGAAGCAGGGTGTTTCCAGTGACAGTAACCAAAACGAGATTAAGGAGTAGACTGGACAAAAGCAGCACAATTTGGGTGTCACAGTCTCCCATCACCCCCATATAAGACCGTCTAGTTGCAGAAAAATAAGCTCAGAGCTTCCACTGATTCTGCATTATGGTGAGCTGTATAATTATTTCATTAACTATTACAATGTAATAAAAATAGAAATAAATGTGCACAATAAATGTAACGTGTTGAATTATCCCGAAACCTTCCCCCCCACCTCCGGTCTGTTGGGAGCCAACATCTATAGCTACATGGCTGAGGCCTGTAAAGGCCCATCTGGAAGATCGCCTCTGACATAGGATATCAGTTATACCTATAATATTGGCATGTGATTAGTGACCAGTGTGCATACATGGCAGTAAAACTTATAAGTAAATCTCAATACACCTGATGGAAAGTGCATAGCAGAATTATTTCTCTTTTTCTTTCTAAGTTTTACTTCTTTCTAGATATTTTTAAACTTCTATCTCCTGGTAGACTGGTTAGTCAGCTTTGGAAAGCTGTTTCCCCTAGGGCTAAGATTAGAAACTAAATTACCATGATAGTTTTGTCGCCCTGCCCCTAGCCAGGCAGAACATTTTCTTTTGTTTCGTTAATTACCGAAACTCTGTCTGCTTCAGCCCATGGCCGCCATCTTGGCAGCCATGCATTTCCTTGTTCAAGAGTGTGACAGCTACTATTTGATTTTTAGAGTAGACTTGTTAGGATAAAATATATACATATACACTCATAGTTGCCTAAATTTATGCTTGCTGTTTTGTTTCCTTTTGCTACATTATTCAAATATAATAATTACTATACGATTTATGAAAGAATTAACGATAAGGTATTAGCTTAATAAGATATAGCATAGTATTAAAGTCCAATCACTAGATCATATAAAAATTAAAGTTTAGACATATGAAACTCATATGAATTATAGTAAAATTTGGTAGTTTAAGAATAAGTTTTAACTGAGTTATAAGGCATTACGTTAAATCATAATAGGTTAATAGTATAACTGACAGTTAAGTCATTTAACTAAACTTATAGATTATAGTATAGTGTTAAGTTGATAATATTAATCGTTAAAAATATTGGGAGTCAGTGAACTTGGATTGAACCTAGAGTTAACTTAGAAAATTTTTTGTATTAATCAGGGTATAGAACAAAGAGTATAATATGAATGATTCATTGAACACTATGGAAAACACTTTGAACGATTTGTATTGAAGTTGTGCACCTGTGACCTTAATGTAAGCACGGCAGGCATCATGGAATTCAAATTGTTTGCTTGGAAATTGCAGATCTCGTGGTGGTCTTGTGATGTATAGTTTGTAAAGCACAGAACTTGTACGCCCCCAGTAAGTGATTATCACACTGCTGGAGGGTATAGAAAATGGTATATGAGTTGGAAGGAGTCCAAATAAAATTTGGCTTTAGTCCTGATCAGACTGTTCCCAGAAGAACTGCCTCCGAGTAGTCTCTTCTCGCCGTCCAGATTCTCTGGTGCGGGTCCTAACCTACCCTTGGTCAGTGCTGGTCACCGACACCGGTCCATGGAAAAATTGTCTTCCATGAAACCAGTCCCTGATCCCTGATGCCAAAAAGGTTGGGGATCCCTGCCCTATATGATCTAGATAAACCACTCTGTTCTACTATAGTTCTTTCATTTTGAGTTGGTGAAGTTAATATGTTTGCTTGTACAATGCTTCAGACACTTGCAAAAACAATCATTCCAGCTATATGCAAATAACTTTACTTAGTATATTGCATCTCAAAAGCTCCCAGACATAACAATGAAATGCTAAACTTTAACTAGAAAGATGAATGCACTGTGATGAGCTTTTCACACCACTTCAGAGTATATTCTAAAACTCCTTAGGGTCTACATTATTTACAGTGAACTTTAAATTCAAACATTTCTTAGGAACAAAATAACTCCTGCTCAATTACTTAATTAGGGAAGATGATATTCCATATTTTCCTGCTAACCTGTGGCAAGTTGCCAAGAAGGCAAGACTCTGCAAGAAAGGTAAACTGCAAAGGCATGCTGATAACACATTCCAACAGAATTTCATTTGCCAAAAACTCTCCATGCTCTGGTGATGGCTGAAATTAAAGTACCATTAGAGACTTCTATCAAAGAACAGAAACTGGCTGGTAAAAGCAGCAGATCATTTCTAAAAATGAGTAAGATTTCAGAACACACGGGCAAGATAAACATCTAACACTACAAGACATGAAATGTAAATGCTCAGAGATTATCAACAGAACATCCCACAAAGGGAATCATTATTTTTCAAAACACTCGGCTATTTTATAGACTAGTGAAATTACCTGTCAATTTAAAAGATAGGGAACACACCTCACGATATACTAATGGCTATAATTAATTAGGTTAATTAGAAAGTAGGTATATAATAAAATACATCATGGATTTCCAAAGGCCCCAAAATAGAGGCTAAAGAGCATCCACAGTAAGGGGGTTTGGGGGAAGCAAGTAAAGGTTTTACCTCTGATAAGCTGTGAATAGAACTGGGGTTCTAGTGCTCCAACAGCCATGAACTCCCCATCCGCTGTCTTGTAAGTTGTGTAGAAAGGTGCTCCACCATCCAACAGGTTCTGTCCTCGAGCTCCTTCCCACAGATTCAATTTTTGGCTTTTCCACAGAAAAGAACTTAGATATGCTGTTCCTTCCACCTTTGAAGAAGCAGAATAGAATATTCATCTGGATAATTCCAGTAGAAAAGCATGATTAACTCCTCCTATTTAGGTTTTTATAAATATCTGTATAAAATGCTTATTTTAGAATGAAGATTATATCTAATTATACCAAGAAATACCTTTGGTATTTCTAGAAAGTGAGTTAGAGTGGATTTATGGTAGGATAACAGTTGGCTGCACTATTCAGTTCAGAAAATACTGTAAGACATAGAAGGAATTACTTTGCTTCTCCCTTTCAAATAATATGATAAGCCGGGCTCGGTGGCTCAGCCTGTAATCCTATGCCTTTGGGAGGCTGAGGTGAGTGGATTGCCTGAGCCCACGGGTTTGAGACCCACCTGGGCAGGCGAGACCTCATCTCTACAATAAATAAAAAAAAAAAAAAATTAGCCGGGTGTGGTAGTGTGCGCCTGTAATTCTGGCTACTCGGAAGGCTGAGGCGGAAGGATCGCCGGAGCCCAGCAGGTTGAGGCTGCGGTGGCCGGGAGCGGCCACTGTACTCCAGTCTGGGCTACTGAGTGAGACTCCAACTCAAAAAATAATGATAATAATAATATGATAAAATGTTGACAATTTTTGAAGGCAGATGAAGATACATAAAGGTTCACTGTACCAGTTTCTCTACTTTTATATATGTTAAGAGTTGCCAGGATAAAAAGATAAAAATAAAGCAAAAAGATTTTTGGCCGGGCTCAGTGGCTCAGCCTGTAGTCCCAGCACTTTGGGAGGCCAAGGCAAGTGCATTGTCTGAGCCTGCAGGTTCAAGACCAGCCCGGGCAACTTGGTCAGACCTCATCTCTACAATAAATAAAAAATTAGCCAGGCATGGTAGTGCGTACCTATAGTTCTGGCTACTTGGAAGGCTGAGGTGAACGAATCACCTGAGCCCAGAAGGTCAAGGCTGCAGTGGCCGGGAGCATGCCATTGCACTCCAGCCTAGGCAACAGAGAGAGACTCCAACTTAAAAAAAAAAAAAAACAAAAGGATTTTTTTAAATCTTTCTGATCTCAATACCTATAAACACATTAATCATATCATAGTTTAAATATAAACCACTTTACAGTAAAATTCAGCTTATTATAACTTGACTTTAATCCTAAGCAAATGATATTTGAGTATCTTATTTAAATATATTTTATTTTTAATAATCACTTGAAAGTTATATTTTTTAAAAATATGGGTGGTGGTTATAATGGGTTCTCTGAGTCCAAACAAACTAGCTTGGGAATATCACCTTCCCACTGAGTCCTGAAGTAACAGGAGTAGACTCACATAATTAAGTGTGATTATCACAAAGGTCAAACTCAAAGCCTAGGTGTACTGGTCTATCTAAAAATATTGACTTCCTGACATTTATGGCTTTCCTGATCCTAATGAGTCTTCCCCAGGGAGAAGGCCATCAAAGCATCCTTGTCTCAGAGGTTACCAATAGAAAGGGCCTCATTCCAACTGCCTGCATGGAATTTCTCACAGTTACTGCCTGTGAAACAACCACAAGATATGTCTTGGAATACACCCAATTTTCCTTTTTCACTGGGAATCTTATGCATACCTGAATTTATGGCTGTGACATTTGTCAGCACCAAATAGTCGAGTTCATATAAGTTGTCTATGGCAGTGCTTTTTTTGAGGCTGGGTTGCACAGACCTTAGGGAGTTCTACATTTATGCACATACACACACACACATATATATGATACACACACATACAAGGTCCAACAATTAAGTTTGCGAACTCATCCCAGAAAAAGTGCTACATGGTTCAATGCTGAATATCACTACGGTCACCTTCAAAGTACTCCCCTTGGGAAGCTATCCAAGAGCCAGCACCTAGTCTACCCATCAAAGCAATTTCGAACTCTTTTTCTAGAATGGCCATTAGAGCTGTTGCCGTATTAGCTTGATGTCCTGAATGTAATCAAAATGTCTTCCTTTCAATATTTCCTTTATCTTCATGTAAAGGCAAAAGTAATTGGGGGCCAGATCAGGTGAGTAGGGAAGATGTTCCAATATAGTTATTTCTACAGTGCTGCCAACATAAGCACATGGTGGCAAGTTCAAGAACTCAATTGTCAGACCTCAACAAATAAAGATGAAAACTTTGATGGCCAATCCAGAAAAAGAGTTCTAAAACTGCTTGGACAGGTGGACTAGGCACTGGCATTGGTGCATAGCTTCCCAAGGGAAGTACTTCGAAGGTGACCATAGTGATATTCAGCATTTTTCTAGGATGGTTCACAAACCTAATTGTCAAACCTTGTAAATATATGTATATAAGTACACTATTTTAACTATATTTTATGTTTATGCTAAGCATATATTTATATGTGTCCTATACCAAATTCTGACACATCAGCGCCTCAACTCATTATTAGTTACTACACCTTAAAATAAAGCCTCTCCTTCCAATTTTGCATAAATTTTGTCTTGCATTTGAAACACTATTGAGGAAAACTTTTGTTCTTCATGGATCTTTTCTCCTCTTAATTTGGGCTTGCTCATACAAACTCAAGTTAGTATTTACTACAAACAAGCACCTGTTTTCTGCTCAGACCTTGCCTCTGTTAAAGGTTAATAGTCAACAGGGCAATAACAAATGAACTCAAAGCAATCTGGGTTGTCATACAGTGCTGGAGATAGTTTTGACAGGGAGTTCTGAATACTGCTTATCTGACTTTCACATTAGGCCAAAGAGAAGTTTTTAGATACTATAGTGAGCTAATCTTGAAACAAAACATTTCTGTTCTATTTCATCATAAATGAAATGCTATCTGAAATTTTAAACAAGCTACTTAAAAACTACAGTTATTTCTAGCTAACTTCCATGACTCACGATTTTCCTTATATGGGGTCCAAAACAAAATGCAGCAATAAACTGAATACTGAAAATGATCATACCTAACTTCAAGTGCTTGTATTTATCAGAGCAGCTTAATTGGCCTGACAGCATAATATATATTTACTATGTAATATTAAATAGATGTATGCTAATAAAATACTTTAATCTCTTTTCTATCTGGATGTCATCATGAGGCTGTTAAAAAGCAGATATACCAACAGAGTTACAGGGCCAGTTTGGCCCACATGGGATAAAAACAGGGATCTAATCCCTAGCATCAAAGACACGGCAGGAGCCATCTCTGTCTCTCAGACCTGGTGGTGACTGCCCAGACACATAGCTTCTCTTTCCCGTCACCCATATGCCAGGAATTTCACCACAGGCCAGAGCCCCTTGACACAGGAAAACTGTAGCCTCAATTCCCCACCAACCTTTGATACTGTTAAAATAAAAACTTCAGACAAGTTAAAAATTTTTTTTTTTTTTTTGAGTTGGAGTCTCACTCTGTCGCCCAGACTGGAGTGCAGTGGCCGCTCTCGGCCACCGCAGCCTCAACCTGCTGGGCTCCGGCGATCCTTCCGCCTCAGCCTTCCAAGTAGCCAGAATTATAGGCATGCGCTACCACGCCCGGCTGACTTTTTGATTTATTGTAGAGATGAGGTCTCAACTGCCCAGGCGGGTCTCGAACCCGCGGACTTAGGCAATCCACTCACCTCAGCCTCTCAAAGGCGCGGGATTATAGGCTGAGCCACCGAGTTAAATTTAACAGAGTATAATTAAGCAAAGAATTACTTGCAAATTGGGTAGCCCACAGAAATAGACTAGGTTCAGGTTGACTCTAGTCCTATCCCATGGCCAGCAAGGATGTACAGACAGAAAAAGGAAAGTGACAGACTCAAAACAGAGGTGAGGTACAGAAACAAATGGATTGGCTATGGTTGGACGTTCGCTTATTTGAACATGGCTGCCTGTGAGTGGCTGAAGTATGGCTGCTGTGATTGCCTGAGACAGGGCTGCTTGTCACAAGAGTAGGTGGTTACAATTCATTATGTACAGAGAAACCTTTAGGCAGAACTTAAAACAGGTAAGGAGGCGACTTTAGGCTAGACTTAATTTAACAACACTGTTTTTGTCATGTTGTTTGGCATCCTGTGGGCCAATTCTCAGTGTCCCCAGGTCAGGTGCACGCTCCCAGATCAGGGCAAATACAGCAAAATGGACCCCACATTCCCCAGTTATCCTAACTGGACACAAAAGATAAACCACGCTCCACTCTTGCTGAAATACAGTTCAGAGGGGTCACAAAGAACAGCGTGAGATGTGTCCTGATGACAGCATCATGAGGCTTATACTCAGTATAGGGCTGGGTGTCAGTCATCCTTGAGGACGGGACGGAAGCACAAGTCAAGGCTTCTGAGACAAGGAAATTCTGGTAGGAAATGGATTGTGCAAAGGTCACCAAGGAACCAATCCAATTGATATTCTCAGTCTTCAGATCTTGGGGTGACCACACACATTTGACTCTCCAATCATTCCCTTTTTCTTTGTTTCCATGACAACACTCGCTTCTGTTTCTCTACTGAGGAACCAAGGAGAACCTCAGTCCTTGCTTCTCTTCTCTACCCACACGCTCCATAGATACAGGTGTTCTGTCCCTTTCACCAGTGAATCATATAGTCTCACGGAGCTCCCAAATCACTTCCAAATTACTCGAAAATCTGTTTCCAGTCCCTAGCCTCAAGTATCACACCTGGATATCTGAAAGGCACTTCAAAACTGAAATGATCAAAACTGAATTCCTTTTCTTCTAGTAAAAATAATCACAAAGACAGACTCATAAGATGCCTGCTATATGCTGGGCACTGTTTACACACTGAACAACGGATGAACTCATTTAACTATCTAACAAAACTCTGAGTCAGATGCCATTATTATCTTCATTTTACAAAGGAAACTGAGGTACAGAGAGGTTAAGTAACTTACCCCAAGACGGCAGAGCTAGTAAATGGCAGAGCTGGGATGGAGGCAGTCAGCTGTCAGAGTCTGTGCTGCTGACCATTGTGCCACACTGCCTTCTCCTTCAGCTGTCTAGCCCTAGGGTGCCAGCAGTGTCACCCACCAGGTCAGCCAAGCAAGGAATATGGGAGCCAACCTTGACTCCTCCCACTTCCCTCTCTGCCAGTTCATTAGCATCAGTAATTTTACATCTCAAATATCCTTTAAAAGCAAACAGGCCCTACCATTAACTGTTTTAAAACTTTCCCAATCTCTTTAGCAATAACCCAGTCACTGGTCTCTCTGCCTCCAGTCATCTTCTTCAAACCCATTCTCCATCCCACCTCCAAATGTCTGTGAAAATGCAACATGTCATGGTGTTGGATTGGGTTCTCTTACCAACTAGCAGTGAGACCCTGAGCAAGTGTCTATGTTTCAGTTTCCTCCTCTTTAAAACAACAGTGTATTCCAAATGAAGCTGTTCTGAGAATAAGAAGAAATCACACAGGCACAGTGCTCAGCAGAGCATGAGGCAAACACTCAGTGGATGACAGTGAACAAACAGAAGCATTATGAAAGTGGAGCATCACCCACAAAATGCAGCAGGAAGGTCCATTTTACTTTAGCATCCTTGAGAGTCTCTCTACCTGTTGAAGCAGAATTCTTGAGCTCAGTTTTACATGAAGATTGCTTGAAAACCTTATTCTAAGCACAAGAGGTAATGTGGAAAAAATTGTTGAAATACAACATAGGAATCAGGTGAGTCAGGAAAAGTTTTGAGAATTGACTCCACAAACAGATGATCAAAACTGACATATATAAAGTGTATGAGGTTAAAGAAAAGGATACCCTTGGTCTCATTATCTCATATTATTTAAAAGGGGACTGGAGCAGCCATATACTGTACTTGGGAACAAGTAGGCTTATAATTTTCCCCAATTATTACTCACCATATTTGCATCAATGACCTGACCCTTGCCAGAGCGTGTACGTTCAAAGAGTGCCAGCATAATGCCCAAGGCACATGTGAGGCCACCACCACCAAAGTCAGCCAGGAGATTCAGCGGGGCATATGGATTCTCACCACTTCTGCCAATTTTTGATAGAACACCTACATCATTAAAAACAAATTCAATGTCTCTTTTACAATTAATATCTTTTAAAAATAAATATATAAGTATCTTAGAGGAATAACTGATCTTTCTAGTCAATGATATAAGTGAAAACTAGTACACAATGCTTTTGCAAATCTGAGTCTATTTAGCAACTTTATAAACAGGTTTCCCTCAAGACAAGCTCTTTGTTTTGTTGTTTCTCCTCTCTAAAACTTTATCCCAATGAACATTTTCAAAATTTTATTGCTAAGTTTTTACTCACGGAGTTTTGGGGAAAAAAATTATTATCAATTCATTTTACAGTTTTAAAACACTATATGCACTGTCATTCTTATGAGAAAGAAATGCAAGAAAATGCTGATACACAAGAAAAAGAAAAGAAATTCAATTTTAAAATAGATATAAAAAGCCAATTCTACACCTACTTCTTTCCTCACCCTTTAAATGTGTGCTCATAGAAAATGTGAGACTTCCTTTTGTCAATAGCACAAGTTTTTAGAATTCTAGAATCAGGCCATTCTAAGACATGTTCTCACAGGCAAAAACTCTAATAAAGTGATATTAGGACCTGAAAACCATGGGCCTCTTCCATAGAAGTTTGATACAATGACTCAGGCAATGATTCTCAATGTGGTCGGAGTAGGGAGGGGCAAGATTCGGTAGCTGTTAGAATTAAATTATGTCAACATTTTCAAACTATAGAGCAGCCTAGCTCCTAGCAGGGGCTAATCTAAGAACTGGCTCCACAAATGTAGAAACAAATGTTGCCAGTGAGAATTTACTACTCCTCAGATGTGCTAAGGGGTGAGGTGGGAGAGAGAAGGTTATGTATGATTGTCCTAAAACCCAAAACAACCCATTTTAAACAACCATGTTCTCCCGATTCTCATAGATACTTAAATCTTCACTTTTAAAGATTATTATTTTTATTTTTTTCAATTTAAAGATGTGGGGTACAATTCAGGGTTAAGTATACAAATGTTCATTATGTAGGTACCCTTGTTGATGAGGTGTGCCCTCCATTCCCCAGCAAAATCCCTTTACTGTCAATCCTGCCCCCACCACCCTCGGCAATTTCCCACTACTGACAATCCTTTTCTTATAGTATTATGATAATTGTTCAAGGTCCACTTGAGTGAGGATACGTGATACTCAGTTCTTTGTTTCTGTGATAGATCAGTTGGTATTAAAGATTATTTTTAATCAATGTACACATAGATCTTCACTGGGAACACATAAAAGGTGTAGAGAAATTATTATTTTGTTTTCAACATACCTGACAAAGCCAAATAGTTGATATCATGGCCAGCTAACTTGGAGAAGCTGCCAGAATGGCCAAATCCACTCAACCTGGCATAGATAAGCCTCGGATTCTCCTGCTGCAGAATCTCTGGACCGAGCTGGAGTTTCTCCATGACACCTAAGGGAAAAGTAACAGTCTTCTTAAGAGAGCATGAATTGAGCATGGTGATAATCCCTTCTCTCAGACCAACGTAAACTATCACTCTTGCAAGTAATAATAACCGCATCTGTCATGGGCTAATAGCATGTTTTCAGCAGTTAAAGACCCAAAGAGTGACACTATCATTTGTGGAATGTGTGGCTCTTCTGTCCTGGATGTTAATTCTCCCAGCATTTTCCTATTTCCCTCTAGACATATCCAAGCCTACTCAATCCCACAGTAGGGTCTCACCCTTTAGGCAGCCCATTTTCCTTTCTGCCCACAGTAGTGCCTACCACCACATATCTCATACTGTGGTTATATAGGCATACACCCATCTTCCCTATTAGCTCAGAAGCTCCTCCTGCAGGATTCTCCCCCGATCTGTTTCCACAGGTCCCTAATATCAATCAGTACCTTCAAGAAAAAGACTCAGTACAAGTCCATGGAAGGAAAGGTTAGCTACAATTGCACCCTGAAGCTATCAACAAGTATTGCACAAACCCCAGGTAACTAGCAGCTGATGTCTCCTGAAACTAAGTGTTTATATAATAAACTCATTGTCTTCATCTTCTTTAGGTTATCATAAATCACAAAAGATTTCTAATCATCTACATACAGAGGTATCAGCCACAACCCCTCACCTGAAGACCACATATTCCCAGTCTTACCTTTCTCCTAATTACAAGATCTTGGACAAATTAGTTAACCATGCTGAGCCTCCCTCATCCTCAAATGAGGCATTATCACATTATTAAATTATTACTGTTACAACCTTGAACTATAGCTGTGAGAGTTACACTAACACATTTAAATGTCTGGTGTCCCGTTTACCAGACATTCACTGACTTCCTGCTATAGACCAGGCAATGCTTTGGATTTGTACTTAAGCAAAATTAACTGGCAGCTGTCTGAGAATGGATTTTAAAAACACCAATTTTTAAAAGGCTGCACACCAGTGTCAAGACAGTTGCAGCAGGTATGGAGAAAAAGAATCCCAAGACTGGTAAGAAGGAAGAATGACTGGATTAAGGATTACTGAAATTGGGTGGGGTGAAAGATTGGAGTCCAGAATGAAGCACAGGTTTCTGATTCAGGCAACTGGGGGATATTGGTTCCACTCACTGAGATAAATAATACAGAAAGAAGAGATGCCATTTTAGAAGGAAAGAGGAATGACTTGATTTGGGATTTGTAGAAGTTGCCTGGGAGACAGCCAGTCAGAGATGTCCAGGATCTGTGTCTGCCAGCAGTCTGCGGCTCTGAAAAAGAGGGCACAGATATAGATTTCGACATTATCTGTCTGCAAAAGGAGAAAATGACCGGAATGGATACGGTGGCTCCAGGGAGCAGAGTACAAAGTAAGTGAAATGAGCTGATGCTGAAACTCGAAAGTACCAGCATTTAAGGAAGGGAGCATCAGCCTTGATCTGTGGATGGTCTGGGAAGGTACATCCCCCCCAAATGGTAGCTAAAAGACTAGGCACCTATACGGAGTTTTCCAGGAGAGAGAATCTACGGCTTTCATTGGATTCTCTCACAGGGTTCAAGACCCTTAAATAATTAAGAAAGGCAACTATAGAAAGGTTATTAGAAAGAAAAAAAAAAGGAACTTGGGAGAGAGGCTAGAGGAGAAATAGGGCAACCGTAGTATCTCCGAACCCAAATTCTGGAAGATCGTCTAAACGGAGGAATGTTCACTACAACATCAAATGAGACAGAAAGATCTAGAAAGGATAGGTGGGCAAGGGCTCATGTGGCAACTGGTCAAAGGTGAGGCGAGCGCAGCCTCAATCAAACGGCCAGGCCCCGTCCTCTGGCCGGAACTTCCCCCCCGACCCCCCCGCGCGCGAACCCGCGTCAGGCCGGGGCTCACCACAGCGGAAGGGCTCCAGCACCACGTCCGCCCGCGTGCACATGCGCCGCAGCACGGCCACTCCCTCCGGCCGCTTCAGGTCCAGCACCAGGGAGCGCTTGCCCCGCGACAAGTGGCTCACGTCGCCGCTGGAGCCGGGCCGGTCTACGCGCACCACCCGCGCCCCGAAGTCCGCCAAGATCATGCCGCAAAAGGGGCCTGGGGCCAGGCCGGCCAGTTCCAAAACCCAGATGCCCCGCAGCGCCATAGTGCACCCCAGCCCCGCTGAATGAGAAGCCT